AGTGTCACGTCTTTACGTGCATTGGTTGACAGAGAGGCGGTTCTGCGCAAACACCCGTTTTCATAGTTGTCGCCGCCAACTGTGCGCCGGGCGCTTTGCGCTTTCGTTCCGCAAGTTTTGCTTGCCGCGGACTTGCGACTTGCGAGTGCTGGCGTCCCAGCCAAGGACCCTGCGAGCCGACTTGCCGACTTGCTACTATTGGTATTACGATTACTTTTACGATTCCTATTGCTATTACTGTTGTTATTATTACTATTGTTAGAACTATTGCAGTTTCTATATGTATTACCATTAAAAATGCTATTACCATGCCCATGACGTTTAGTATTACTCTTACTTTTGCGCTAACTCCTTCTATTGCTACTACCACGACTAGTATGCACTATTACTATTACTATCACTAGTGCTGTCACTGCTACTACAGCCACTGCTGCTGCTACAGCCACGGCTACAACTACCAACTACTGCTGCTACAAGCCCGTCTCAGGTATGATGGTGTGTGCATCAGATGGGAATACCAATTCATCGGTGCCTGATCTTTCCCTGCCAACTACTTTTTTTTACTATTCTTTTTGAATAGCCTGGTTTTCCATGGAAAACACGTCGTTTTTTAGTATAGGGTTGACAAGGGACCCTAAGCAACGATTTGCAGCAGGGCGGTTTGACTTCTTCACCCCGGTGCTGAGGTGGTCAATAACATGCAGACCCCGGCGCTGATTCTGGAGGCAACCCAGCACCACAAGCCCTCTCCAGACTCCGTGATAGAGCACTATGTGCCGCCTGGGGAGCACGCGATCATGCATCTTGGCTGCGCATGCGCGCGTGAGGGGCGTGGTGGAAACGAGTTCTTGTCGGGGGCAGTGATGAGCCAAGGCCCATTTTGGCGTTTTTGCTTTGAACATGGTTGTTACCCCACCCCCCTAATATGTATATGTATAAAAACTCCCCTGCACAGTGTCACTTGGACTTGTCATAACATTGACCACGTTTTGCGCGGATGAGCGAAATGATCAACAGGTGACAAAGAAAAAATGGTACGGGCCCGGGATTGAAACCTTCTTCCATTCTCATGCAGTGCTTCCCACGGCAGTCTAAGCTACACCCGCCATGCTCGGAGGCCCATGACATAACTTTGGGTGCGAGGCAAGCCAGCGTAGCTGCAACGAGTAGGATTCCCATATTGAACTTCAAAACAAAGCGTGGTGTACCAGCAAGAGCAACTCTGCTGTTGGGGTTTGGACATGGGATCTCACTGGCGTCTTTTGGAAAGCGCCTTGTTTGAAGCACGTGCTGGTCAACCACGCTACCTGAGGTCTGGGTGGCTCCAGGAACCCCGGGCCACACTCTACATCCGCACAGGCAGGCGAGCTCTGAGGATCAAGGGCACTTTGAGGTTTGCGGTTTTAATTTCAGGGAGGTGCAAGTCAGAATGTGGCGGTGGGGGTAACCCCAACATAGGGCAAGCCCTGGTAAATGGAAACACGGACTGAAATCTGCGGTCCATATCCTGGTGGATTTTGACCCCTACGTGAGGCTGACTCATGACCTGTTACTGCCCTACATGAGAACGATATGTTTGATGTACTTACTGAAGCAGATGATTATGACGGGCAATCGGACATACTTTCGTGCATATAAACTGTTGCCTGTCAAACAGGGGTGCCTGTTTTTTTGTTGGGGGGAGCTACTAGATCTCTCACCCAGGTATTGGGGAAGGAATGGCAATGGTTTGTGTAGAGCTGGCATTTGGCATTTGTGGTAGATCAGCCCTGTGTGAAATTTGAAGTTTGCACCTGTGCACCAACACCATCGAGAGTTTACACGCACCATTTCCAGAATCTTTGTCAACCTGCAATCCTTCGCGCACACTATGTGGCCCTCCTTTTTTTCCAACATCAGCCCCCAACTTGACTTCACCCCCCCCTCAAATCGATTGCAAAACTTTACGTCATGATCACAGTGCAGCCAAAAGGCCTGTGGCTGTTCCTTCGCGCTGGTTGAATCAAGACATGTCCTACCGACGTGTTATTGCCTTTCATCCGCGCCGGCCGTCAGGCCTGCACTCGGCGAAGGAGCTCAAAGTCCCCAACTTTGGGCGCATCGTCATCAGCAACGATCCACACGGTCTTCGCGTGGAGACATGCGATGAGGACGCGACGTGTGTCAAACGTTACATGTTTTTGACTCGTGTCTCAGAGCCGAGTCCGGAGAAGATGGTTCGAAAGATCGCGATGGCTCTTGGCTTGTCAGACTCAAGGTGACCCTCACTCCGTCTAACATGGCACCTGACCGACCTTGAAGAGGAAGTTGATCTTCCAGGTCCCCTCACACAGTTGCCGGCTGTTCGTGGGAGGCTGAGAAAGCTTGCGATCGGTGCGTTCTCGGCAGGGAATGAGAAATGGCAGGACCCCGAGAAAAAGCATCATCCAACTGCTGGTTTTCCTTTTTTCCCGGGACCCTTTGACCCCAAAACAGCTTATTCCATCTCTCCTTCCCTTGC